TATAATACTCACCCTCCAAACCAGCACTGCCTTTCCTCTGGCAGCAGCAATAATCCACACAACCTGATTTCTATTCCCCTGCTTCCTAGAATCGGTCCTTCCTTCTCATGTGCCCTCTGGAATGCCCACTCTGTCTGTAACAAACTCACCGCTGTCCATGATCTTCTCATCTCCAATTCCTTTAACATGCTTGCAGTTACTGAAACTTGGCTTCAGGAGTCCGACTCTGCCTCCACTGCTGCCCTCTCCCATGGTGGCCTCCATTGGACGCACTCACCCAGACCCAGTGGAGGGAAAGGAGGTGGGAGTGGGTATCCTTCTGTCCCCACAATGCACTTTTCAAGTTCTGCCTTCACCTCCCTCTCTATCCCTCTCCTCTTTTGAAACCCACTGTATTTGCCTATTTTCTTACATTTCTTTGAGGATTGCTGTGATATAAAGGCCACCTGGATCGGTATCTCGCTTTCTTGAGGACTTCTCTGCCTGGCTACCCTACTTTCTCTCCTCAGAAATACCTACTATCATTCTTGGTGACTTTAACATTGCTAATAACATTAACACTCCGGCTTCCACTCAATTTCTTAACCTAACCTCTTCTTTTGATCTAACTCAATGGACACTCACTCCGATGATAACATACTTGATCTTGTTTTCTCCCACCTATCCCCAACCCGGAATCCCCCTACACGGCACACTGTCACCAGGAGAATCCTTCACCACCTTAACCCTTCTCTTCTCCACTCTGCTACCGACTACCTCTATGACGAAATCTCACCCCTGCCCTGACCTGGCTACTTCTGTTTTTAACAGCTCACTCTCATCCTCCCTAGACACCTTAGCTCCCCCCACTACACGCAGACTTAGACCACGTCCACTACAACCGTGGCAAACTGAAGTAACCAGACATCAAAAAAGACATAGCCACGCTCTGGAACGACTGTGGCGGAAAACTAGGTCTCTGCAAGACTTCACCTTGTATAAAGCTGCCCTCCTAAAATAAAATTCCTCCCTCCGTGCGGCCAAACTTAGTTTGTCACTCTCATTAACACACTCTCATCCAAACCTCGTCAACTCTTTTCTACCTTTGCGTCTCTACTATGTCCTCCACCGCCACCCCCCATTAACTCACTCACTGCCCAGGACATTGCCATTCATTTCAAATACAAAATATATACAATTCGGGATCAGATCGCCATTGTGCAGTCACCTTCCCCTATTCATGTACCAGACCCTCCATCACACTTGTTACTCTCCTCTTTTGACCATATCACCACAGAAGAGGTTACAAAGCTTCTCTATGGCACCCGCCTCACCACTTGCCGTCTAGACACTGTTCCCTCAAAACTACTTCGGGCACCCTTTTGCTCTATCCTACACACCTCCTTATGTATCACTTGCCCCTTCCTTTTAGATTGTAAGCCCTCACGGGCAGGTCCCTCCTTACCATCTTGTCTTGAATTGTAATGTCTTCCTTATATTGTGCAAACTGTTGGCGCTAAATAAATCCTGTATAATAATAATAATAATGTTGGTTAAACCGCACCCCATATAGTAGATAACAGGTTGAGTGCTAGTGGAGAAAGTCTGGTGTATAGATTTGAGTTCTGAACCCATATGTGGTGGCTATTAGATAAGAAAAATACCCAACTATGGGTGGAGCACGAACATTTCTAGAATAAAACAACTTGTTCCTTGCATAGATGGAAAACACTTCACAGCATACATGGCAGATTTAATGGAAATAATTAGTAGAATACATTGCATTTTATACAGAAGGAGGTGTATCTCTCCTCTATTGTTTAGCCATATAAAATGTCTCCATGGTGTTTACTGCAGCTCGACAAACAGGAACAGAAGTGTTTTATATACTGTATTTTGCAAGGTTCTGGTTTTCTTTTCTGCTGACCCGTATCCTCGTCCTGCGTGACAAATTGTTTTCTTTCTTTCCTCTGTGTATGGGTCTTTTTTGGAAAATGAAAATAAAATCTGATTTAAAAATAGCCTTGAATAAACAACGTTCTCTCATGAACACATTAGGGCTGATTTGGCTTTATATGTGGTCTATGTGTTTAGATGCTTGCTCTATATAATTAAGGGTTTGTTGCTTGTTTTTGATATTGGCATACTGAGAGTCCACTTTGTGGTTTTTAGATGTTTTTATTTCACTTAGGTGTATAGGGTGTTAGATACTGACGCAAACATAGACGGAGAGAAGTTTAGTAACTTACATGAAGGCTGCATTCTTGTGGCAAGAATTCCTCCAGGTGTCTGCGTTCAGATGCAGCCGCTGTGCCCATTCAAGTAAATGACAGTGTGGCAGCAGCCCCATCTTTCAGCGACAGTCTATATGTAATTGTGCCCCATGCATTTGGGTTCTCATGGAAATAAATAGCTGCAGCAGTCTCTGTCCCCACTGATCCCTTTTGCCTCTGCCGCTAGAGGTGGGGGGGGAGAGCAGCGCGGCTCAGCGGGGACACAGACCGCAAGGATAGAGCTGCAGAACTGCTGCGGCTCCCTGTCCAGGGGTAGAACTACCGCTGGGCCTTAATGCTGTGGGGGGGCCCAGTGTGGTTCGGTCCTGGGCACCCTCCCTGGTGGAATGTGCGGCAGTGCAGGGTCCCCACACTGCGGGCGGTCTTCGCAGGACGCAGTGCACACCATCTGGCTGGGATGCTGGCTGTGAGGCTTGGCAGGTTAGTCCTAATGAGGAGCGGCAAGGGGGTGTAGCTGCACACTGTGTGCTGTTATTTCATTTAATTAGAAAAGTGGATTATAAATGGGGAACATTACACTATAATGTTGTCTATTATAATCTATTTCTCTGATTAAATGATTGGACAGGGCTGCTGTTCTATCAAAGTTTGTGACTAGGTTGGAATGTGTGAACAGTGACGTGGTCACACATTTCAATGTAATCCCGCCCAGTTTTTTGGGGGTGGAATGTGTGTCCACCAATAGGTCAAGCATTCCAACGCTTTCTCAGCACTCCGAGTCGGATAAAGTGACATGTCAGGAACGAACAGCTGATCCAGGGCAGATCGGTTCTCCTGCACATATGATTTGCGATGCCGATCTGCCCTGGAACAGCTGAGAAAGCGTTGGAATGCTTGACCTATTGGCAGTCACATATTCCACCGCCCAGCAGGTAAGAGGAGTTGGGAGGAGGTACGGGGAAAGGGACCCCAGCGACCAGCCCACCTGAGGCCCTGCAGAGCCCGCTGTGCAGGATCAGGGTCACTCTCAGGTGGGCTCTGAGGTAAGCCCAGAGTCCATGGCATTACTAAGCCCAGGGCGTTATGAAGCCCACATATACCTATATACATAGCATAAATGTAAAAAAACTATATATGTAGTGTTATCTTCATTTTAGATGTTAAAGGGGTTTTGTGGCTCCCCGTGTTTTTTTGTGGGAAACGGGTCCAAATGGCTCTTTGAGTGTTTAAGGGTGCTGACCCCTGGTCTAAGGTTACCTGTAGCAATGGGACAGCCCTTATGTTTCGTAGACATGTTGCACCACATTGATGGCCGGTTCACGTCACAAACAGTGCGTTCCAGAGCGGTCAGCCTCTGGAACGCACTGTATTGCAACACGGCTGGCTCCCTGCGCTGAGGGGTGGGAGGGGGCCTGGCGGTGCATTGAAGTCAATGGCACCGCAGCCACACCCCCACCCGCAGTGCGATCGCCCACACCCAAAATGCGTGGCACATCGGTGCCTGTGTTCAGGTCCAGTGTGATCTGCAAAAATAGCCACTGACTTCAATGCACCCCCACGCCCCCTCCTGAACGCAGGGAGCCAGTGGTGTTGCGATACAGTGCGTTCCTGGGTACGGCCTCTAAAGCTGTTGCTGAGGATATGATAATCCAGATAGATGCTGTGTAGTGACTAGCTCAAGCAGCATCTTTGAAGGCTTTATATATCAATTGTTAATAGAATCCACATATCATTTTGGGAAAATTGGGTGTTTGCAGGCAGATTTTTTTGGAGAACATGTGCACAGGTGAGTCAACTTGCTTTATAAAGGGGCAGAGGGTCAATGGTGTAATTGGGGCTTTATTTTTCTCCTGGACATCCTGCCTTCCCCAAAACATTCGCTTGTGCGGTCACAACACTCTATTCAGGAGCAGGATTGTCACCCTATGAAGCACGCTTCTGCTGCAGAGTAGAAGCAGTTTATTGCCCATTCCAAATTCATTTTTTTGGAAATAAAAATCTAGTAGCATTCTTACACACAAACCTTTTCAAGTCTGACCAATCTCCAGGTTTGAATAGAATTTTGTATTAGTACACCTTTAGAACCATTACCATACCCCGAATTTCTTTCAATAACCCCCATCATAACAAATACAGAAGGCTGCCCTCTCCTGAAAATGTTAGCTGTCCGTCTCTCTTTAAATTTCAGGACCTTTTGAGGTCAGAAATCCAAGACAAGCATGCAGCCTGTGATTACCAAATGGCTATTCTTGTTCTAGGCAAGTGACAAAGTATTGAAGCCAGAGGATAAGCATGACAGCCACACGACCAGCATTTTTTTTTTTAAGAGAAGGCAGCAGTGGTGACTTATGGCTTTCTAATGACAGGTATCCATTATGTGCCCCACCCTAACAGTTAATTACACAAGAAAAAGCAAAAAAAAACAGTTTTCACATAACAGGTCAGCTTTAAATTTAACTAAAAATACAACATAGATGGTAATATAATACAGCACTCATTAAATATAATTTGGTAACATTAAATACAGCTTTCTTTTTTTAAAGTTAAAACTGACACTGATCCCTCTTCATCTAGGCCTTTTCTTGTCTCAGTGGGCAGCACGTATAGATTGAAGTCTTTCACAATAGCTGTGTGTTTCGATGTATCTTTCTTGACGTCCACTAAATCCTTCATGACTTGTTTACCTCTAAAACAATTGTCCACTTCAGGTCTCCAGTGTGGCAATTAACAAGAGTAGAAGGTCCAGAAAGAGGCTGAATACAATTCATCCCAAAGATAGCAGTTCTGTTCAGTTCCAGATGTGTTCATAATGATAGCCGTGTTGAAGAGCCTTTAATGTGTTCCCAGTTGTTATATAAAGCATAGATACCTGCAAGAGCAAAGCCTGCCAATCCACCGCGTGCTACTCCTCGTAATCCAGCTGTAGGAAGGAAATAAACGTTCATTTCTTAAAAGAAGTTCGACAGCTGAATTCTAGCACACAAAACTGCCTGTTTTATAACAGGCAGTGAGCTGCACCACTGTCCTAGAAAAATGCTGTTCCTGTTAAAGGTTTAGGTGAAATCTGTATGTTTAGTCCAAATATATGGCTTTCTCTTGAACCTTGACAGAGTACTGAAGCCGGTTCCCCTTTTTACAAGCACAGACAATTACATTCTTGCACATACAGCAGAAGCTTTTCACCTACATCACTTTATTGTGCTTTGCTAGGAAGTTAGTAGAGCCCTACCTTGCTTTATTAACAAATAGACAACAGTTCACAGGAATAGAAAACCCATCTACTTGATCAATGTGAAGGTTATGACATGCAAACATTTAAATTACGGGAACAGGTTTATCAAACCCAAGGCAATAAAAAGGCTGTAATGGCTTTATATGGAGAGGTTTAGCTTTCCTTACCACACCTTTCTATTGTTGGTAATTCACTTTTTGTGCAAAACAGTACTTTGGGGCCATGTCCGTTGAGCTAGGTTTTCTGCACATGGTGTGAACAAAGAAATGTGTTTTTTGTTCTTACTCAATGGACATGTTGTGAACAAGGCTTAATGTGCTCAGATCATGTGAACTCAGCTTTACTAGTAAAAAGAGAGGTTATACCCTGTTGACCCTGTGGCTTGCGTCTTTTTGTGTAACAAAAAGGTTTTCAACTTTTTTTTTTTACTGCGACTCGTGCTTTTAAAAAAGGTAGATAAGAAAAAAAAATTAAAAAAAATATTACTGGATTTTGTCAACCAACTTTCCTTTTTATTCATAGCCTGCCAAAATACAATTTGGTATAGATCATAATGGCTTAGTATATTATACAGATTACAGGGCCCCAGGGTTATAAACTGTTCTGCATACCGCAGAAAGGGAGGTTGAGAAGCAGAAGTGTAAAGGGGCAAAAGTCATACAGCTGAACATTACCACATCTGCAGAATCAGCAACACCCATCTTTCTAAGACTTGAGGAAGGAAATGTCACTTTCTTGGTGTAAAGATGCTTATCCCTGCAATTTCCTATTTTAGATATGTACCAGCAGTTTAAAAACAAATGTGAACTTGAAAACTAGACGGCCTATAAAGAAGTGTTGGTGGGCCAGGGAATACAGCCCTCAAGCACAGGACAGAAGGCTGATAAGGTAGCTGCTACATTTAGGCACACCGACTATCAGACTCCTGGGATTAGTCCTTAATTTCTCCCTTGAAAACAGACCTAAACTGTAGGCTTAGATTTACTTTAATAATATCAGTGGGTTTTGTGGAGAGAATGATAGGGCTGCAAGAAGCTGCTGACATCAGCAATTTCAATGCAGAATTCTCTCTAGGAGAAAGAGTCCTTACTCCAGCTGATTCCACTTGCTGCCTGGCCACTTCTACAAGCAGCAGCCCAACCAATGCCTTCCGGTGAAATAAAGCCCTGCTTTGAAAACCACTTCCCAGTTTCTCCCACACAAGCAGTGATTACAGCTGCTCAGGCCTATTCACCCTTCCACCAGAGATGTAATGTGGTTTCAGGATTCGAACAGCAATCGAACATTTGACTGCTGCATTATGCGTGCAGTGCGTGCTCTCCGACCAGAAATTTGAGGAAGCATTGTGAGAAGACATGTAGCTAGAGATATAGATATAATAAAAAACTGTAGATCAAAGTAACCGTAGAGAAACTGGCAATAATTCACAGTTAAGTGCAGCTAAATGTAAAAATGCTTTTTCCACCGAGGTTCCAATACCACTTTAACCTCTTCACAACCCATGATGAGATAATTCAGACTCCGTTCATACTTGTAGAGCCAGCAGCCGGCTTTACAGTAGAAGCGATTCTGGCGACTCTGATAAAGTGCCCCCCCCGGCCGTGTTTCCCGGGCTCCGCTGCCCCTCCTACGGGCCCGGGACTGGCGTCTCGGGTGTTGGTGGGAAGCTGAGAAGGAGAGCGGCAAAAGTCTGTCCACCGATCTCCTCCCCTTTCTATGGGACCGGGAGCCATGCGTATTGAATCACTTCCAATCCCTGAGCTGTCATTGCTGCGCTCCTGAAGCCTTTTGGATTCCCAATATCACCTTAAAGGAGGACCTGTCACCACCAATATGCTATCACATGGGGTTTTGTAAGCCCCCAGCTTTTGTCATAGCAATTGAAGTTAAAAAAAAAAAACACCAAAGTTTTAAATTAAATAAATTAAATGTAAAAATTACTTTTTTTCCCACCCCAGCGCATCATCACATAAAACACACGTCGGGTGTGCCTACGTACGAAAACGATAATTGCGCTACATGTTGTGTATCGTCGCACACGCCATAGTGAGAGCAATAATTCTAGGGGCCAATATTTACGTGCATCTCAAAACTGATAACCCGCAGGGGCTTTTAAAGCGTCGTGTATGGACTTTTTGGGGTACTGAATTCTGTCAGTTTCATGGATGCACACAATTTTAAACCTGGGAATGTTTGGTATCTATTTACTTGTTGTAACCTCATCTTTTATATTTTACACAAAAAAAATAAATGGTTTTATATAGTGTTTTGGGGAACTAAACTTAAGTGCATTTTTTACAAACTTTTTGGGTTTGATAAGTTGCGCTAATCTCGTGCAACATAAAAGTTTGCAACTGCCACCATTTTATTCTATAGGGTTTTGCCTTTCAGAAAATATATTGTATAATGTTTGGGGGTTTTAAGTAATTTTCAGGCATAAAATGTGGATTATAACATGTGTGCAAAAAAATTAAAAAGGCCTTTGTCCTTAAGGGGTTAAATCAAAGAAACAACTGTGTACTTCAAGACTAATGCAGATAGCAATGAAAAGCTGTCAGCAGTTTCAGAGAAGCACACCTCAGCTAAACACCCAGGTCACAAGCCAACAAAACAGTGATTTCCAGTGTAAAGCCTCACATTTCTCTGCCAGCAGCGTAACACTATCACAGGTACAGAGAAATCCTGGACAGCTGACTACCACTGGGACCTTCACAGGACAGCCATTGCTGAATACCTGTAACACAACATCCTACTGCATCAATAGACACAGCATAAGCCAGAGAAAAGATCATTAGCCTGAAACCATTACAAATACAAAATTAAAAAACAATCCTCAGGCATAAAATAATTACACACTTCTTAAAACAATGAATAAAACAGGAAGTCCTATGAATAGCTTGAATATCCTAATAGGCAAAGTTAAACTGACACTAAACTCAGAAGTTAAATCTTATAAATGCGTTCAAGTACCTTAACTATGAACAAAATGTATCTTATTTGTGCATCACTCGGCTGTAGATCCTCAAATCATTTTGGAATTGGTGCTGACACTGTCCTTCCTTCTGGAGGGGGGCTACTGTGGTTCCCCATGTTCCCTGTGTGTGTTGTAAAGTAGCCACCGCTCCAAGCTCACTCCTGTGATGGACTACAATCTCAGTACAAATTAGTAAAGTAAATATCAGTTTGTAGTCCATTACAAGATTGAGCTTGGAGTCGTGGCTATTTTACAACACACACAGGGACCATGGGGAACAAAAACTAGCCGCCCTCCAGAAGGAAGGACAGTGTCAGTATGAATTGAGAGATGATTTGAGGATCTACAGCCGAGTGATAGACAAATAAGATACATTTTGTAAATAGTTAAAAAGGTACTTGAACACATTAAGATTTACCTGCTGTGTTTAGGTATGTCCTAAAGACCCGAGCACACTTATCTTTACCCATGACCTGGTTTTAAACCTGAGAATATACACAATCCTACCTGAAATCCACTTTTACTACTGCCTGTTTACAAGAATCCTATCACATTACAAGAGACTGCCATAAGGCAAACAAAACCAGATATACAACCTAGGAACCTACAGACATAGAACATTTGGGGCCTCCCTCTGTTCCTGTTGGTAACTCTACAAAACAAAGAAACAATAACGTATAATATAAGCACAGGCAGAATGATTCCCTTTAGAGAATCAGATTAGCAGAGAGTCTGCATTGCTTCATTGCTTTAGGAGACTAGAGTATCCTAAGGCGGTCACAAAACCCTAAAAAACCCTGTCTCCATAAAGAGGACCCGTCACATCATATTTGCTATTACACAGGGGCTTGTTATCCTCCTAATGTGATGGCAATAAAGTTAGAAAATTAAGTAACATACATTTTTTTTTAAAGTGCAAACAAAATTCTTTTAAAGTCCCCCGCATACAAACATGCATCAGGTGCGTCTACATGCAAAAAAGAAAATTGCACCACACAAATGTCGGAGTGAAAGCAATAATACTAGGGCCATTAATCACTGCTTACACTAAACGGATGAGCAGTAAAAGCGTCGCCTATGGTTGCACACAATTTTAAGGCTTGACATGTTTGGCATCTATTTACCCGACGTGACCCCATCTTTTATATTTTACCAAAAAATTGGGTTTTATAGTCTGTTTCTGTGCACTAAATTTCATTTTAGTGTATCTTATCCTGAAAACACTGGCTTGATAAACATTTACCACGACATAAAAAATAGCAACTAGCATTTTATTATTCTACAGGGCCTCCGATTTCAGGAAATATATAATTGTTTGGGCGTCTGATGCAGTTTTGTAGCCAAAAATTCTGATTTTTATCATGTGTGCAAATGTAAGAAATTGCTCCAGGCAGCAAGTGGTTAATAACTATATTGCAGCAGCCCTGCCAGCCAACGAACATCAGGCCAGAGAGTTTTTGGCGTCTGCCTGAACCTATTGGGTGTCAAATTCTTATATTATATATTTAAATATTTTTCTCTTTCTGAAGAAAAAAAATAAATCAGTAATTGCAGTACTCCTAATTCTATCATCACAGATTTCCTACAATAGAAGATTCCATATTTGTAAACAAACAAATATTCTAAAAAACTGATTTCATATATTGTTGCCAACTAGGATCTTCTGACCTTCCATAAAATTAAAAAGGTTTCCAACTTTCAACTATGCTTTAATGAAGCAACGACAGCACAAGCCAGCATATTATACAAAATGCATTATGCTAAAACAGAGTACATGTTTTGTGCTTCACGTTGAAGATCACTTCAACTACATTAACTAAAGGCATTCTGTACTCTTCGAGTTGTCAGTGCTCCCACTTCCTATTTTGATCAGCTAGGTGCCCAGACTCTGTTAGATTTCAATTTTTGGTAAATGTCTAGAGGGGTGACAAGATGCAGGTTCTCTTAACATAACACTAGGACTGATTTTGCGATGACAGCAGTAATTTTAAAAAGTACGATCTGCCCATCTTGGACAGGCTAATCGTACTTGCGATCATCGCAAGCCCACCCCCCTGAGGGGCGGACTTCAGGTGAGTGCAATGCTGAACGGGCAGTGTGCGTACACCGGCCCGTTCGGCAGTGATCTCTCGATCATGTTAAAAACCAGCCGAAAACCGTACGATTCTCGGCTGGTTTTCCAACATGCTCGATATACAAAAGTCGTGCGACCGTACATTAGAAACGGTCGCACGCCTTCCATACACTGCACGATTCTCGTACAATCGCGGGATTTCCCACGATTCTCGTACGAGAATCATGCAGTGTATGGGCACCTTAAAAGGAGAACTAGGAGATGAGAGATTTCCACTCTCCTCATAGTTCTAGCCGACCTGTGACAATGAGACTGTCACAGGTCGGCTCAGTAGATCGGGAGGTGAGCGAACAAATACCGGCGTTCGCTCACCTCTCGATCCTGTCACTGCTCTCTGCTGGATTCCCCCCTCCCCGATCTGCCAGCGATGACTGGCAGAACAGACGGGGGAGGGTACAGCTGGCTCTGCCTCTAGATAGGCAGAGCCAGCTGTCACTCACGCAGCTGGGCGGATCCCGACATCCAGATCGGGATCCACTCGGCGTCTCAGTATACCGCGAGCTATAGCTCGCGGTATACTGAGCTTAGGGTAACGGGAGGACGCTAGTTTGTGTCCTCCCGTTACCCTAAGGAGAACTATGGGGAAAAAACACTGACTCCATAGTTCTCCTTTAAGTTGGTCCAGAGAATAGAAGCAGACAGGAGTTACCCAAGATTCTATCAAATCCTTGTAATGCTTCTAACTCCCTCAACATATATGGGAGTTTCATTTTATCTTTAAGGAGCTACACTAATTTGAGGAGGCAAAGTCAGATCACCTGCCGGATCTTTACTGCTCTCACCCAGCCCAAGCCAGAGAGCATGGCCAAACTATTGTTGTCAGAAGCATACATAAATTCTCCATGCATTTCTATGAAAAAATTGTGTAAGCAGATCACGGTGCATTTCCATTACGCTATATAGAAAAGGATTTGTATAGAACCCTGAGTAAATAGCACAACACCCCTAGTAATTTATTAACCCCTTCATGACTGAGGCCTTTTTTTCATTTTTTGCACCCATGTTATATTCCACATTTTAGGCCTGAAAATGACTTAAAACCCATAAACATTATATATTTATTGAATGCCAAGACCCTATAGAATAAAATGGTGGTAGTTGCAAATTTTTATGTTGCGCAATATTAGCGCAACTTCTTATTAAACCCCAATGTTTAGTGAAAAATGTAATTAAATGCCCCAAAACACAACAAAATACCAATTTTTTTAATGAAATATAAAAGATGAGGTTACAAATGAGTAAAACGATACCCAACATGCCCAGGTTACAAATTGCGTGCGTCCGTGAAACCATCTAAAAACACAGAATCTTTATTAACCATTACGCTATATAGAAATGTATTTTGTGCAAGGATAAAAGCACAGATGTTCCAAAACCAGGGGAAGCACTTACTGTTGTGGTTCAGGAAAGCAATAGAGACTGAAGTCTAAAACTTGCGCACACGTAAATATATCAATAAACTTCAAAAAATAAAAGCACCTGGAGATTTGTACAGCATCCCTGTCATTGTGCCAGCTGCTACAGTGTTCAGGTCATCTTCTGCTCCTCTGGTCTTCTCAATGATGACCCCAAAAGCACTGTACAATAATGCTGGAAATATGGCAACAGAAAATGTATGAAAACCTGACCCACATTAGTTTTCAATTTAGACACTTACATGTTGAAATTATTATGAATTTTAACATTTAAAAAGTATACAAGAATATAGTGATTATAATTGACAGGGCCATTCATTTCCACACTCATAAATACCCATAATATTTTCCAGGAAAACTGTCCTGTGAAACACTAGTTTAAAAATTGAGATGCTAGCTCGGGTGTTTAAAATGACCTTTGGCACTAAACAAATTGAGAACATTGTCGCAATGAAACTCTTAACCAAATACAGCTGGTGAAGTGGTCATAGCATGTCCTAGGACAATGCTGATAACGTCACACTGGGTCATTCTGAGTGCAAAAGTGTAACCAATGTTATTTGAATTACTAGCAATCCAAATGAGAAACTTTGGTAGAGTTCTCTGCAGAATATGTCTGGAGCCCCATTTATAGACACTAGCAAAGTTACGGGTCTCGCACACTTGTATTTTGTGTGCTTCCAAACTAGCACTAAACAATCAAATATTCAGCGCACTCTCAAGGAAGCATGGAGCTGCCCAATACTAGCGCCTCACTACCAGAACGGCAAATGTGGCGGTCAGTATAGAGGGACATCACTTTTATCTGCCAGCAGTGTAACACAGCCACAGGCACGGGATGGCTCTGGACAGCTGACTACCACTGGCATAAAGTATCAATACAGAATCTCTCACTTACCTAAGGATCCCAGTGTGTTGGCCCACGTTGCACCTTGTCTGGTGACCATATTCAGTATCCTGCACAAAAACAGGTTGATACAGATTAAGTCTAAATTTTACCAACTTTACTAAAGCCAAGTAAACGTAGTGGAAAGTTGTTCATGTTAAGGAGGAACATACAGAAAGGGTTCTTTACTGTTGGAACTAAAAATGCTAAATGGTTTTCTACAGAAACTGGTTTTAGCATCTGCTTTCAATGGGACCAACTAGAGCAGTGGTTCTCAACCTGTGGGTCGCAACCCACAGTTGAGGGGGTCCCCACATGCCTTGTGCTGCTCTAGGTAAGAGGCTCCTCAGCCTCCTCCTAGCGCGGCAGTGTCAGTTCTCCCAGATGTCGCTGCAGCAGCCGCAGAGGATCAGAGAGGGGAGCAGGCAGCAGTGAGGGGAGGCGAGTGCTTGATCATCACAGAGCCCGCACTGGGCACCACAGAGCACTCACTGGACGCCACCAGAGAGCCCACACAGATACTAGTATTGGTGCATCCCTAAATGTTAAGGTTGGGGGTCACCACAACTTGGCAAATGTGCCCAAGGGGTCCCAGCCCTAGAAAGGTTGAGAACCACTGAACGAGAATCAAAAAAGTTTTTCAAATTGATACTGTGGGCTGGTTTATATAGAAGTAAAAAATGAGGTGCATCGATTAGACTGTCAGAATTATTTCAGTTATGTAAACTAACCCATCTCTAAAAGGCTCTTATATTGGGGGGCCATTTATGAAGGAAAAAATAGGCTCCAAATCAGAAAGATTTGGAAAACTGGGCAGTAATAAAACAGTAAAATAAAGAGTTATAACTAGAGATGAGGTCAGGTTCGGTCTGACCCTCAGCTCCTTATGTGCTGCCCAATCAGTTGCGAGGTAATCAACGGTCCCAGCTTGACATGCCCGGCCCGCAGCAAATTTGGTGAAAAATCCTACGACACTTCCTTGTTCGGAGGAGCTCTGGTTCGGACAGGGTTTAGTCCGAATCTGAGCTTATCCCTAATTATAACACACATTAAAGAAAGGCAATGAAATGGGTGAGAAAGTAGATGAAGCAGCAGTTTGTCTCAGGTAGACAATGATATAAAAATAAGTGTGCTTTAAAGAGCCACACCCATGAACAAATTCTAAAACTACGAAAAAGAAGAAGTGTTGGTCATGTGAACATTACGCCACTTATTACTCAACCAAAAAGGGGGTGGCTGTTAGATTGATGCAAGGAGATTCGTGTAAAGGTTATAAAACTAAAATGTATACTTCCAGACTAGCACCGAACCACAGGACAATAGATGGTCAGCGCACTCTCAAGGAGGCACAGCACTGCCAGATACCAGTGCCCCACATCACCAGAACAGTGAGAGTGGCAGGAGGTATTAGATGGCAGTGCTTTTATCTTCCAGCAGTGTAACACTAGCACAGGCACCAGGGAGCGCTGGCTAGCTGACTACCGCTGGATCTAATGACTTTTTAAAGATCTCTTTACAGGCACCTATACCACAAGAACGAATTCAAAGTTAAGCTTTAGAATGGCGCTCTTTAATGCTACATGAACATGTAAAGAGAGAAATGTAGGAGCTGCCAGGGCAGGCATTATGATTTTAATCCAACTTATGGCTTCTCTACATAGCGAGTCACTGACCAGGATAAGCATGCAGAATGAGAGTTCATGCTGTTCAGAATTCACTAGCCATATGATTGTTCCCAAACAGTACTCAGTAATTCATTACACAGGGAGGCTGGATCAGGATAGTCCTGAAACCTGCATCTTTAAAAACAGAGCAAAAACATC